GAAGATGCGCCATTATTGACTGAGCAACTCCCTTCCTGCCCGAAGATTTCAATAATGACGTGATTTCGTATTTTTCTTTCGTTTTTTGATATCGCCTATCACCTTTGGTATAGTCGTGGATCTAAAAACTGGATTAATCTAGCTCCGCGACAGTTGGCAGGTGCGCACTGTTTTGTAGTCGGGTGGTACCAAGTTGTTGAGCTCTCGTTTCTTCTAGAAAGGCTCTAAAATAAGCCAAGTGGTCAACTATGCAGAGAGCTATGAATGTGATTATGGAATGGGGTCCGATGCTCGATGTTATTGGCATTCTTGTTGTCACTTTCTACTTGGATTTTCTGGCTCAGTGTCTGGGCTAGTGTAAGGTGAAGTAAAATCTCGCTTTCCATTTCTACATCAAACTTTTAAGTCTTAAATTGGCCCACAGAGAACTAACACTGGCGGTGATGCAGACGAAAACGAGGAACGTCTGCACAGATCCAGTCAACTGTTACCGTCACTACGTTGCTTTTTTCCAAGAGACAACCTGGAGGTACCACGTAAGTGGGAAAAAATCGATCGCGGTCAAGCTTAGCCTTCTTATACATCAAGTCTGTCCAAGTGCACTGTAGTCCGGTGACAAATTCCACGAGTATTCGTTTGACCCACTTGCCGCAAGTTCTGTTTGCCTTCTGGCAAGGAAGAAACCAGGTTTTACTCGACTGGATCACACCTAATCCCTTTGAGATCGATTTTACCTATTCTAACATCTTTCGGAGAAAAACTGACGATGCTCGTGAGAGAGACCTAACGAAGTAAAACGCTGACTAGGACTTCTTCAAAGAAGGCATATTTCTAGAAAGAACAGGATAGCACTTCACGTATTATGAGATGATATAATCGCTCCTGCCCAACCGGAATCCATACATTAGCCTCTAAATGTGAGAACTTCTATCTAATCATAGAGTTTAGTCCTGGTTTCTCACGATAGAGTGCTCTGGTGCCAAGTTTGATAACCCTCCATTTAAAGTGGTTCACTTGATGGTCCCGATATCGCACCAATAACCCACTAAAATATCCCTTTTTGTTTGACTTAAATCTCGTTGAATTTCATCATACTTTGACGAATATTACTTCCGTGTGCCTACGCAGCATTTTTTAATTTTTTCCAAAAACGACTTGCTAAGTCTGTTCCTGTACAAGCAAACTATATTTCCGCAGTTTGAGCGCTTTTTTCAAGTTTCTGAGACAAATAATTCATGGTCGAATGCTGGAAATCAGATGATTTTATGCAATTCAACATCATTTGAGTTGTTTTACTCCGGCAAACTACCATTTATCAAACTGACTGTCATTCTTTGGACGTATAGAAGACTTTCCGGATGGACAGTCCTTGTGTTTGTCAAACGAACAAACAGATTACTCTACTTGACTTACATGACAACGGTCTTCCGACGTGCCTGATCGTATGACGTGAGGTCCTCAAATCAAACGTGATTCCGGATATTAAACCTGCCTCAAGATCTACGCTTTCATGTCAAGTATTGATTTGTCGGATGAGGCTGTATGATTTGACAAGGTCGATTCAGACTCTAAACAGCCCGGTCCATCAGATAACGGCATTGCTCATACTTTCTTCAAATGCCAGTTCGTAAATAAACCATCGTGAACACTTGTTTTCAAGAGTGATTGATACTGACCTAGATCCAGACAAATTTGGCTTAAGGTTTTCGTCTACACAACCCTCCACCAACAAATTGAGTGAATCTATTCTGAGGAGGGCATCGCTTCTCAAAAATCTGAGTTCCTCGAAAAAATTGTTCGAACAATGGAAACGTTGTTTCATTGGTAAAAATCCGTGTGTTTTTAGTCAGAAAAAAAGAAGAAAAATAGAGTAATCAGCTCAAGAATTACCGTGACATAACACACTACTCATAAGGGTGCTGGAAACTGGTTTCGCCTTTCTATGGGTCCATCAGGTAGATGCAGTTCCTGAGTCTTGGTTAAACATGTATTTTAGGTGAACTTAAAATTCGACAAAATTTCATAAAGTACACGAGTTTGATTAAGACCGGGAGATTCAGCCGAATTCGGTTAAAACCCAAACGCGTTGTATATTTGGCGAGGCCAGACGTCATTGAATAGGGAGCATGGACAAAGGCCAGCAGTGTACCCCTTGGGTGCTTCTCTGGTGATGTCTTTTATGCCTGCCTTGCGCAAAAAAAACGATAAATCGGGCTGACTATGGATATTTGGTCGTGTCATTGACCTTGATTATCAGTCTGCTATTAATTAACGGTGAACTGGTTTGTTTGAGCAGACAACATGAATGCCAAAACCACTTCAGAACAAAATAACGTTTGTAGTTATTTGTAATGTACTACTCATAAGGTTGCTGGAAACCCGTCGACAGCCCACGACCGGTTTCGCCCTTCCACTTCGGGCTCATCAGGTAGGCGCAGTTCTCGGGTTTTCGTCAACCTTATGTTCTACTTGAATCCAAACTGCAAAAAATTTGCGAATATACACAAATTTGCAAACTAATTTGGTTTTTTCGAGAGACTCACCTGGAACAAAGCTGAATACAATGAATAAACGTTTCACCAGACTCTCTCGTTGCCTTTTTGAGTTTCTCGGTAGTTGATCTGTTTGCCTAAGTTAGCAGTTCGATTGCAGACGTTTGATCAGGGTTGAACTTCTCTTCAGAAGCAGCTGGTGATACTGCGTCGTGGACAGCGCCACCTATTTTGATCCTCCTTGTCGATAATGAAGCATCATCGACTAGGTTCGGTCCGTCTGAAGTATCCCTCCAAATCTCTATAGTTTCATCACGACAATGGAAACGGGGACATTCGGGCCGTGAGAACATTCATACCGGTGAAGTTCGCTCACAGCATTTGTGACTTACTCGAGTAAAGTTCCTCTCCCCTTTACTCGTGAACAAGAGTCAAGCGGTGTGCACTGGTAGGCAGGGATGGAATGAATGTAGTCAAAAGTGTAGACACTCATAAGGTTGCTGAAATTCTGTGACAGCCCACGACTGGTGTTGGGGCGTAAAAACATCAAAAACGAGAGATTCAGCTGGGTTCCTGGTGAGACTTTCGAAAAAACAGGGTTATTTGCAACTA